TCCGAGGTCTCGTCGGATGCCGCTCATGATCTGTTTGAGCCGGCCAATCAAGGCGTCGTCGTCTTTGCGCTCCCACTCCATGAGATAGAGCATGTAGTCGCCGCCATCGGAGGTGAGTCGTTGTCCTGTCGGGACTGGAACCGTGGCATCGACTTCGAGTGTGGTGCCGTCACCGTTGATGATCAGAGCCTTCTGGGCGGGAACAAAGGTCGGTGCATTCGTGGATGCCGCGTTGTTTCGAAGTGCCCAAGGTCTATACGCGGTCAAACATCGCGGGCAAGAGTACCGACCGTGCTGCGAGGAAATCGAGTAGTCCCACGAGATCTGTCGAAGCCAATGGTGATTGTGTATCACCGAGGTGCAATCCTTCGAGCGACATACGAAGTGTTGGTCGATGCTGTCGGAGACACGAAACAACCAGTCGGTGAGTGGGGCCTCGGCGGTAACCATGTTCCAGAACTCATCGGCGTTCCAGTTCGGGTCGATGGATCGAGCGACGGTCGTGACCTCCCACTGGGCGAAGGCTTGGAACACTCGCTGCTTCTGGTCGGAGTCAAGCTTGGCGAGGTCCGCGACGAAAATGTCGGTGAGTCGTAGTATTCGACTTCGTACCTCGCGTCGAATGTTCGACTTGCTGTCGCCAGGCCTTTCGCGTTCGATGTCCTCGCACATTTGCTTCCACGAAGCGGCCCGCTTCCTCGAGGTCTCGACGTTGATCTGCTTGCGCACGGAGTTGACCTTCTGGCAAATCGTGTACCAGTCGGGGATGCTGATCGTGTCGTAGCGGGTCGAGTTCTTGCGGACGAATGTCGGCTTCCGAACCCAACGACACTTCGCGGTATCCCAGTAGTTGTCGAAGAAGACCTTGCAGTAGAATCCATGCGTTCGCTCGATCGCGATGTGCCACCCAGGCGGCTTGACTTCGTGGTTGTCGTCGCGATCGTAAAGCTGTCGACGGTCCTTGTGGTTATAGGGAAGGTCTCGAAGGTTGCCTCGTAGTCCTATCTTGGCCGGTGACAAGTCGGAGTTCTCGGCGTACCACACGAAGTCCTCGTTAGCCCCGGTCGCGCACTGGTAGCAACACCTGTAGTGGATGTTGCGCCAGTCGTCCTGGCCGTCGGGGTTAACCGAGAGGAGATAGTAAGGTGGAAACAGCAGACCACAAAAGGTGCAATCGATGGATCCATCGTGGAGCTTGTCGTTGGCCGGAGTGCTGAAGTACTTGAGGTACATCTCTACTCGGTCGACATCGCGTTTGTGGTGATCTTCGATCGATTTCCCATCGGGACCAATGAGCTCGATGGGCATGCCGTTCTCGTCGACCTCCTCGCCGGTAAGTTGTCGGCGCCAAATCGCCGCCAGCTCGGAGTCTGACGAGTTCGGGAACTGCTTTCGTAGTGATGACATCGCGAGCTGTTCGGAGGCTCGTCTGAACGCGATGACCTCCAAGGCTCCCTGGGTGTGATGATCATCGTAGAGCCTTCGTTGTAATTTGAGTGCTCGGCCCTCATCGGTGTCCGGGTGAACACCCTCGAGGTATCGAGCGGCCGGCAAAACTGCTCCGGAGCTGCTGCCGGGCATTTGGGAAAACTGCTCGATGGGATCGAGCTGAGTCGCCGATGTCTCGGGAAACTGTTCAATCGGATCCGACTCAATCGGGGACTGGCGAGAGTGTGCCATCACTTCGGGTGGATCGGGAGGTTCGGGTAACACGAGTCAAGCTTGAGAGGTCGAAGTCTACGGAAGCCAAGCAATCTCCAAGGAGAGAGCAGGCCCCACTACAACTAGTAGAGCCTGATGCAACCGAGTAACATGTCCTACAGGCGAGCACATTTGGTCTTGTCGTCGTATGTAACGAGTCATTCGGGGGTTGAGACCTACGGGTCAGGTGGACGCATCGCCGAGGCGGAAGTCCCCTTTTGCCGAAACGGTCACTGACCCGGAAACACCCGTACATCGCCGAGGCGGAAACGGGGCGACCGTGAGACTCCAAAGGTCGGGTAGGCCTCGTGTAAAGGCTCACGCGTTCTCGCGGAATCGCAGGATGAAAGCCGGCGGCTCTGCGGCGATCATCGATCGCATTCGCTCGTGTTGGGCGAAGGCACTTCGCATCGCCGGTGAGAGCATATTCGAAGTGCATGAAAGTATCGCCGAGGCCTGCTCCCGAAAAAAGGTCTGCATGGGCTCGAAGTATGGCATCTGCGCCGCGAAGGTGTTGAGATTCCTGGCCGTGTGGCACCAAATTCGGAGTCGGTTCATCCGATCTTCCACCGAAGTATGGTTCAGGTCGGAGAGAGAGGCGGTGATGCTGTGCCACACCATCGAGTAGATCAAGGTCGTCCGGGGTTCCACGAAGTTATTCGGGACACCCAGGAGCAACACCCTTTCTTGCAGTACGTCGTCTTGCGGGGTGTGGATCGGGAGGTCGATGTAAAGGCCGTATTGGGTAAGGTAGCTCCCGAAAGTGGGGCATCGGAGTACTTGTTCGATGTAGATAATGCCATCGTATGTGATCTCCCATGGAGTGTCGAAGGCGAAGGAGGAGTAGGGGTGGTTGCCGGGTGGCAACATCGCGACATTGTGTCCGCCCACCGGCGTCATCGCTTGTAAATTCGACGACATCATCGGGAAGTTGTCGAAGTGGCGCAGCGTTTGAAAACCAAACACTGGCTCGTGTGATGACGGTGCATTGGATCGGACATCGTCGATCGAAGTGCGCCCCTTCTCCACCACCTGCGAGTCGCGCCACTGCACTCGGAATCTCTCGAGGCATGACTGTCGTGGTGGTTGTGGCTGAACCGCGACCGGTACACTCGTGTAAGGATTCCCCAAGGAGGTCGTGATAGTCGAGGAAGAGGCCGCCCCCGACTCGTTGGTAGGTGGCCGTAAGACTTGCCTCGGGTCGTTTCGTGTCAAGTCCACAGCAGGGTGGACGGAGAATCTCGGCGGCACGACCTTTCCAAACCCCGCGGAGCTGTCGGCGTCGGGGTGTGGTCGTTTGGGCATGGCCTTGGTCTGAGTGCTCACGAGAGTCGTAGTAGCGGCAGCCCCAAAGGATGGGTTGATCCACTCGGATTCACTCGCGGAATTGGCCACCGACCCAGCGCTCCTTGGGTTCATCGATGTCGCAGGGGTAGCTGTAGTAACCACGGTCGGAGGTGTCGGTGGTTGTGTCGCGGAATCATCGTCATCATGCCAAGGATCTGGCGACCTCAGCCTCGTCTGCGGTGTCGTGGTAGTCGGTGGGGCCGCCGGAGTCGGGGCTGGTGTCGAAGCGGCGATCTCATCCGGGATTTCGACGATCACCGGGGTCTTAGAGTCAAGCCATCTCTTCGCCGGTGACTGGGATCTCTTCGGGAATCTCGCCGGAGAAAGCGGTCGTTGTGATCCCCTGGCTGCTCCATCGCCGTGGCGGAAAGCAGTTCGGGGTTCACGGCCGAAGCTGGGTGCATCGGAGTCCGTATCCGTGCTGACCTGGAAGAAAGGTCTCCTTGGTGTCGGCGGCGTCGGAGTAGTCGAAGGTGCCGTCGATGGGACCGCTGCCGGAGGTGCTGTCGATGGGGCTGCTGTAGAAGGGGCTGACGAGGGAGCCGCTGAAGGGGGCCATCGGGGTCTCGAAGTAGGGAAAATCGCTCCCCGTGTCGGAGTTGAGTGTTGTCCCCAGGTCGCCGGAGGTCTAGATTCCTCGCGAACTCTGCGAGGAGAGCGTCCGCGACGATGCAGGCCATCCGCGATCTCTTGTCGTAGTTGTTGGGCAGCATCAGATCTATCCCACGATTCGTAGTCGTAGTACCTGGAGAAGTTTGTGCCAAAGTTGAACTTGCGCATCTCGGCGGAACGGAACGTGGTCATCGAGTCCATGATCCACTCACGAGCCTGTGCTCGGTTGACCTGCTCGATGATTCCGTTCTTCGACGAGTAATGGTAAGGTGGTTCGCCTCGACGATTCTGTCGTTGTACTACGAAAGCTTGTCGCATAGCTTCATCGAACGTGTGGCCATGTTGATTCCAGCACGTATTGTGGTACTCGCAGCATCCCTGGAACCATTTGTGGCATATGAGGTTGGGAACTACCCACGACTTGTTGAGGAAATCGGGGTGAAGGTATCCACAATTGGCCATGTTACAGTTCTTCTTCTCGAGAAGTCGGGGACAAAGCTGTCGTCGTATCTCAGAGATGGGGACTTGGGCCGTGTCGCTGACTACTTCGGGGTACTCGTTAAGCATCGACTCTGGAACAGGGGCCGTCATCTTCACCAGCGTGCCCTCGCAGAGAAAATCGAACCATGAGTCAGCTCGGGTACGTGCCATGGCTACGAAGTGACTAATCCAAATCGATGGTAATCGAAGTAGTGGGCTTGAGATGCCCTTCGAAGTTCCGCTTTCGAGCTTTCGCCAAAATGGCTACGGAGTATACAATCATTCGACATGAATCGGTGAGTCAATCCCCTGACCGATTCGGTGTTTAAGTGAGAAATGAAGTTGTCACTTCGCACAAACAAGTGTGTGCTACACAACAATTAGATAATCTGCCATATGACATGTATATACATATATACAGGTCGAATGAAAGTTTGCATTATGTAACAGAAAATGTATAGTATACAGCTCACAAACTAATGTATACCACGTTGCAGTTATGTATGCATATATATAAATATATATACATATGCAAATGGATGTATGCGTGCATTGTGATGAACTATATGACACGTAATATGTAACACATTTCTTATTTGGGCGACAAGAAACGTGCGATTCGCAACATGAGGGAATGCTCGGGCAGGCGCCAGCCAAGGCCTGTCCCTCACAAAGGCGCATGTCTCAGTAGTTCATAATCAGCCTTACCCCAGCACGTCGCCTTTACGTAGTGCAACTACTGCGACGACGACGACGATGATAAAAACTACTACTATAATCAGGTTTAGACACCGAGAGCTGGTACGACTCGCACCCCCATTGTCCCCGACCCCTCAGCCACCAGCTTGCAACCAAGCGGCGAATCGCAATCGCGTTGAAGGTGCGCTGTCCCGCGCTGTCGCTGCAAGGCCGTAACGCCACCGACATTCAGCACACTGTGGCTCTGGGATTCAATGTTCAGGGCTTGGTGACTTAGGGGCATGTCAAAGGTCTACACTGAGGCACTTTCGCCTTGCAGCAGCCCTATTGTGAGATCACGCTCTGCAATAACATGAATGGACCCGACCCCAAGTTTGCGTTGAGTCCCAACTGCGGCAAGGGCCGCGCTCACAAAGAAGCTCTTCGACACACACGATCCGTAAATATCGTGCCGAAGTGCGCAGGTGGGGACTCAGCCTTTCGGGTTCAAGGAGCTGCGGGTAAGGGTTCATATGGGGGTTTCCGAAAATTAGGGGTACCTTATTTTGGGGTCCTTCTAATAAGGATCCTACTATTTAGGGTACTATATTAGGTCCCCTAATTTTTCGGAAACTCCCATATGAGGTCCAGGGTTTACGAGATGCGGATATCCGATCTTCTTCCCTGGCGGGGTGCTGCGGCACCTCTTTGTGGCTGAAGGGGTAGCTACATGTAGGGGTCATCTCCGGGTAGCTAATGTAGGGGCCTTAATACTTAGAAAAGGGCGGCATGGGGCCCATAATACGATGATTATAATAAGGAGCCCGCAAAATAGTCTTGGTCTTGGGTGTTGATGATTGAGATTCAGAGTTCCAGGGTTTGGGTTTTCGAAATATAGCCCTAAATGCCACCCTGTAAAACACAAAAACACACCTCCTGGACGGATATCATAATTGCGAAACCTGGACAGGCAGGTCCTAGCCAAGGCTAGGCATCCGGACTAGGCTGCAAAGGTGAAAACACCCTGGGACCCTGGACAACTGAGGACCGTAGTAACCCAAGGCGTGCTTCTTGTTGTATCCGTTCCTCTTATTTGCACAGCAGACGCTGCATGACAGCAAAGAGCTTAATACACCGTGGCCTTGATGAAACAAGCTGGCAAGGACATGTCTTAAGCGACCTACAGCACCCCGCTCAAGAACCCGGAGAACGATGACATAAATGTTGATGCCGCCCACAATCCGCATTTGCACCGTTGGTTCAGGTTTACGGCTTTGGGCCGAAGTGGTAGTTTCACGATTTATTGGCCGGATTAACTACTACAGCAACATCAGTTAAGACCCCAGTCCCAAAATGGACCTCCCTATACAGTAACGCTCCGTCGCCTGAAGGGTGTTGGGCTTCGGATTAGGGGTATCTCGTCATCATTGATCATGGCCGGCAATGCTGACCAGAAACAAAGCACACCAGCCATCACCCTCTTCGTGGCCACCTTCATTCATAGCCAACACGCACCTCACTACTTACGTTACACCTCAACCTGCTGACGATTGGCTTGTGCTAACTGCTAACCGACTCAAAACCAAAAGCTGATACCAGGAGCTCTCAAGCCTACCAACCCGTCAAGCCCGAAATGCCGAACCCCTAGGCTCCCGACCCTCCAGGGTCTTCTTCTCCTCTGTGGTAGGTGGCACAACCATGGCCTGCAACAGCCAAGCTTCGGCTAGATGGCTGAGGGCTTGGGTGCAGGGCTCAGGGCTTAAGGCGGAGCCAAAAAAAAAGTTGAGGGATTGGAGTTGTGGTAGAAGGAAGGCAAGGGACGCAAGGGACCTCTGAAACCCTGAAGCCCCCGTTTCAACGAACTCTTCATGTCGTGACTCCCACCTTCTTGCCGTTCAGCTCGGGGGCTTTGGCCAATCCAAAGATGACGACCTCATCGCCGGGCCTCGGATGTCCAAGTCCCGACAGACACATAACCAGAGGCATTCCACATTTTTAAAGCTGACGAACCTGTAGAATTACATACATAGGCCATGTGCAAACAGCGCGAGAAGTAGACAGCGTTCCATTATACTATAACCTTGGTTTAGTATTAACAAATAAAGAAACATGTACATATTCAGAGGTGTAAATCTATTGTACATATATATACATACATACATGCATGTCTACACACGTATATAAGGCTGTAAACAAGAACTTGCGTATGAGAGTACATTGATGTACAGCTATCTCTTGTCCTGATCATGAATGAGGCTCTGCCACGTGGAGCTTGTGGCTTAGAAGTAAGCTGGATGCCAAAGCCCTGACCAAGCAAATTTTCCAGAGATCTCTAAACGAAACAATGAACCACGAAACCACAGCTCACCCAACGAGCCCAAATACGGAATAAGAACCATATGCCTACAACCACTCCTATCCCAAACCAGGGCACCCCGAGCCGTAAATCCCAGACCCGAAAGTCTGGCATCTGCGCCTTCACACTACGCAACCCACAATAATGTAGAAGTCATCTAAGCCTAAAACTTACAAGACAAACGACTAATGACAGGGGGTACAGGTCAAACTCGGCTCAAGGAAGTAGCTCCCTAGCAGTGCACAAGCGCATTTCAGAGGGAGCCACAACCGGACAACGAGTCGAAACCGCTAAACCTCTAACCAAAGTCTTCCCTCCAAGCATCGTTCGCCCTAAGAAACAGAGGCACGTCTCCAAAAACTTAAAACGAATAAACCAAAGCACCTGAGCGCTAAGGCACTAAGTCCCGAAACTCCCAGCCCAGTGGCTTGTAGCTCGGGCTGGCCGGAGCCCCCATGCCTCCCATCCCCGGAGGCATTCCACCAGGCGGCATCTGAGCGGAAAAGCGCGAGGTGTTTTTTTTATTAATTTTGAGGATGGGAGTCTGGAGGAATTCTGGCTGTGGACTTAGGGGTCCACGGTTTATAAACCCCCTTCTAAACCCCCATAAAAGCCCTCTAGATGCTCTGCAAACCCTTATTATAGCGGCGTTCATACATAGAATTGGTTTTGAGGTGAAATGGGACAAGAAGTCTGTTCGGGCAAGCGAAATTAGAGGGCCTGTGCCTCATCAGTGAGGCTGTATCCGTGTTGGAAATCAGCTTCTGCAGGTACATCTTATACCTATTCTACTATACCTAGAAAAATGGAGCTCTGGGGAATCGAATTTTGATTATCAAGGCCCCAGCGGATTACCCTGGTCCCGGTACCCTCGACCGGACCCGGCGCTGCCACCGTCGCAAACCCTTACTATGGGGGCCTTAATAATTAGAATAGGGTCTTGGGGTATATTGTACCATACTTATAATCAGGAACCCCCAAAATAGTATTGGTAGTTATTTAGGCCCCTATATTACTTAGGGCTGGGACTTTTTGAACGGTCGGCTTCTAAGCTCGATTGGGGCCCTGAACCCAAGTTAGCAGGGTGGAGGAAAGCCAGGGGCAAGGAGTAGAAACGCCGAAGGGCAAGCAAGGAGAGAAGCGCTACGTGGGATGTTCGGCGGGCTTGGGTTGACGCTCTCAACCCATCGAAACCAAAGACCGACAACCATGGGGGCCTTAAGGGGAGGGGGGGCGGAGGCCCCCACCCAGCCCCAATTCAAAAGCCAAGTGTGTGAAAGGATCAGGGGCCACCCCCCCCGCGAACGAACCTCTAAGCCCCTGATTCCTTGATAAATCGAACAAAAGGGGCCTTCTTTGCAAAGTTGTTCGTGAAAGAACTATGTAAACAACACCTCCCGCAAGCTCCAAGGAGCTAGCTTCCGTGACTCATCAAGCCCAAAACGCTAATAAACTTTGAGAGTATGTTAACTAGGCGCTTGGGATTTGGAGAGAGGCAGAGGAGCAAGTAACGCCCAAAGTGGGCCCTGTGCAGAAGGCAGAATAATCTGTCACTATTGTCCAAAGTGTCCAACCTGCCGTTTCTAGGTACGCGCCATCTAGAGGCCTAAAATCATTGCAGGGGTTGGGGGGTTGTGCTATACGATACTTGCAATAAGGAGCCCCAAGGAACGCTGTTAGCGGTTATTCAGGCACCTATATCATGGTCTACCTCCACGCGGATATCGTGTCCCAATCCTCGCACATCGACTTGCAGGAAGAGTGGGGACCCTGGATCCGAAACCTAAGCCGATGCCACCCTGCAAGAGGGCCGACTACGTCTCAAACCGCAGCACGAAAAGTTGAGCCATAGGATGCCATGGGTAGCTAAATACCAGTGCATTCTAGGAATCATGCGGGGCTTTATGGGAGCTTGTCGCGCCTTCTTCTTTCGAAAGCTCTGCCTGGCTTTGGGACCTTGACAATATAAGCGCTTACCTTTACTATACTATACTATACTATACTATACTATACGCTATACTATACTGTACTACTAGTATACTATACTATATTATGATATGGCAGGCCCGATTCTGTGTGGGTTTAAGACCCAAAACCGGCTGCAACAGATCTGAGATGCTGACTCCACCCATTGCCTTCATCCACGCCTCTGGTCCTGTGCTATCTTAAAGGCTGTGGTATTATATTATAGGATAGAATCATAAAGTATAGTATAGTATTGTATTGTATTCGTATTGGTACAAATGTTCGTATTATTATTCTTCTTCTTCTTATTATTATTCTTATTATTATTACTATTATTATTATTAGTAGTAGTAGTCGTATTAGTCGTAGTCGTAGTGGTAGTGGTAGTGGTAGTGGTAGTGGTAGTGGTAGTGGTAGCGGTAGTGGTAGTGGTAGTGGTAGTGGTAGTGGTAGTGGTAGTGGTAGTAGTAGTAGTAGTAGTAGTAGTAGTAGTAGTAGTAGTAGTAGTAGTAGTAGTAGTAGTAGTAGTAGTACTAGTGTTAGTATTAGTATTGGTATTACAAGTAGTGTTAGCTGGGTTTTGGATGGCCTTAAGGTTTAGGGGTTATGAGGTTTTGCTGTTGGGTTTTGAAGTGACTTCGTGCTTCCCGGAGTTTTAATTTACTTCCAAGATGCTCAAGCTTGGTGGAACAATTCAAGTTTAGGCGTTTGCGGATGCTTGTGTCGGTTTTAGGATGTGCTGTCGGATTGAGAACGTGTAGAGCTTCGTGATCTGGCTGTGGAGGTGACAAACCAGGAACAACTTCCCAGGGTTAAGGGTGGATAAGGTGAGCTCGAATACTGAAGGCGCCTAGAATTGAAGAGGTCTCTGACTCATCCCAGGCAGGGAGCCTCCCGTCGCTTGGGAGAACTTGGCCAGGATCCTGCAAAGAAATACTGCGGAGCTTCTTGCTTGTTTTGAGGACTTCGTTTCTCCTGGTTTCATCGTACAACAGCTTTTTGCGTTGTACTGACAACATACTTCTCCATGGTTCATACGACGACTCTATTCTCTCCAGTTTGCTGGACCCTTGTGCTCACTCACTCCCTTTCGGGTCACTACGATCTCGAGGGGTTTGAAGTTTAGGGTTCTCATGGGGGCTACAGCTGCAAGGGCAAATGGCTGAGGCGTGGCGATTGCTTCTTTGATGAGCCCTTCCTTGCCCCTCGGGTTGGATGCGACTGCACCGCACTGTTGAGCTGCGTCAAAGGCGGTGGACATCCGGTGACTCTCTCCAGGCAGCTGCCCTCAAGGCCTGAGACCTGGCCTTGGCATTGAAAGATTCGGTTTTTGTACCTACCCTCCCAATACGAAGACGAAATGACAGTTCGGTGATGTTGAAACTCATGACTCATCACAACCATGGTGAGGGGGTCAGGACTGATGATCGATGCGGGTCTGACCAAGAGGGAGAAAAACATGTGGGTTCATGACACGGCTGCTTTGGCTTTCTGACGGTGATTCTGGGGACAATGACGACGGCAGGATGATGGAGATGCTGGCGATGATGATGATTGATGACGGTGATGACACTACGATGATAGTGTTGACTGTGATGACGGCGACTGATGCTGGCTTGACGATGATAGTGGCGCTGCTCATGAGGGAGATATCGACAACGGAAGGTTAGGCAGGAAGTGAGAGGAACGGTTACGACGGCGATCGTTTGTGCATCATGATGTTTGTTGACTTATATGCTTGCTCTACACACTCTTGCCCAGATGTTACTTTGAAGTCTTTCATGTTTCTTGCAGTGCAAATGCTAAAATTAAAGAACAAATATCATTTGAGTGAGAAGTAGCGTGAGCGTCTGAACCGAAAACCTCGGTGCCCTGACCTGTAAAGCCTAAGCCTCGAAGGAAGTTTTCAGCAAGGGCGTCCGTAAGTTGAGTCCCCTGGAAGACCAGAGTTTACAGACTTGGGACGAGGGTCGGAACTGTGTGTAGACCTTAACGCGTAACCATCAGTTCGACATGCTCGAACACTCGGAACAGGTTTGATATTGCATCACATTGCCTATGTCGGGGCCCTGCCTCTCGTCCTTCTCGTACTTCTTCATGGCATCCATGCCGTTCTTCTTGATGTCCTCAAAGAAATCCTGGCCAGCTGATTCTCAGGCTACCAGCCATGTGGATTTCGGTGCAGACTTTGGGTGGTTTAGGAGTAAGTTGGCGGCATGTGCTGGGCTATGGTGCCATGCTGGACCCGCCCGAAGAATAGCAGCCGCTGCCACTACAATCTTCGACGGAATGTCGCAACCTGAACAATTAGACCAGGGATTTGCGGCATATTGCAGTATGATTGTATAGGGACCATAAGGCAATCATGTTAAGCTCTAGTATCCGAACCTCTAATTTTGCATAGCAGTACATCATATGACCATCTATTATTGTGATGGTGACGGCGATGGTTGCGATGCTTAGCTGCTTAACTATGCTTATGCCAGAGCGTACGCCGGGTAACCCCTATCCCCCCCGGTGGGGTTGCTGACGCGCGGAGGTTGCTGACGGGCGGAGGGGCGGACCCGACCAGAGGGGGGGGGGAGTTAGATAGATAGTTAGTATCTGACGGGCGGAACCCGCCGGCAAAAATTCGTGGAAACTTGACGGAGATAGATAGTACCTGACGGGCGGAGGTTGCTCGGTGGAGGTAGCTGACGCGCGGAGGGTAGGTAGCTGACGGGCGGAGGTTGCTGACGGGCGGAGGGTGGGTAGCTGACGGGCGGAGGTTGGGTGGGCAGCTGATGCTGACGCGCGCTGACGGGCAGAGGTGACCCGACCAGAGGGGGGGGGGGAGGTAGTTAGATAGATAGTTAGTAGCTGACGGACAGAAACCCACCGGCAAGCGCAGGTTGCTGACGGGCGGAGGGTGGGTAGCTGACGGGCGGAGGTTGCTGACGGGCGGAGGGGCGGACCCGACCAGAGGGGGGGGAGGTAGTTAGAGCGGAACCCGCCGGCAAACAAGCCGTGGAAACTTGACGGAGATAGATAGTAATTGACCGGCGGAGGTTGCTCGGTCGGAGGTAGCTGACGCGCGGGAGTGGGTAGCTGACGGGCGGAGGTTGCTGACGGTCGGAGGGTGGGTAGCTGACCGGCGGAGGTTGGGTGGGTAGCTGATGCTGACGCGCGTTGCTGACGTGCGGAGGTGGAGGTTGCTGACGGGCGAAGGGGCGGACCCGACCAGAGGGGGGGGGGGGGCTAGATAGATAGTTAGTATCTGACGGGCGGAACGGGTCGGCAAACAACCCGTGGAAACTTGACGGAGATAGTACTTGACGGGCGGAGGTTGCTCGGTGGAGGTAGCTGACGCGCGGAGGGTAGGTAGCTGACGGGCGGAACCCGCCGCCAAGCGGAGGTTGCTGACGGGCGGAGGGTGGGTGACTGAGGGGCGGAGGCTGGGTGAGTAGCTGATGCTGACGCGCGCTGACTTGCATAGGTTGCTGACGCGCGGAGGGTGGGTGGTTGATGGGCGGAGGCTACTCACGGGCGGAGGGGCGAACCCGACCAGAGGGGGGGGGAGGTAGTTAGAGTATCTGACGGGCGGAACCCGCCCGCAAACAAGCCGTGGAAACTTGATGGAGATAGATAGTAACTGACGCGGAGGTTGCTCGGTCGGAGGTAGCTGACGCGCGGAGGGTGGGTAGCTGACGGGCGGAGGTTGCTGACGGGCGGAGGGTGGGTAGCTGACGGGCGGAGGATGCTGACGGGCGCTGACTGGCAGAAAATTGCTGACGTGCGGAGGGTGGGTAGCTGACGGGCGGACTTTGCTGACGGGCGGAGGGGCGGACCCGACCAGGCGGGGGGGAGGTAGTCAGAGCGGAACCCGCCGGCAAATTGACGGCGGAGGTTGCTCGGTTGGAGGTAGCTGATGCGCGGGCGGAGGGTGGGTAGCTGACGGGCGGAGGTTGGGTTGCTGACGCGCGGAGGTGGAGGTTGCTGACGGGCGGAGGGGCGGACCCGACCAGAGGGCGGGGGGGAGGTAGTCAGAGTATCTGACGGGCGGAACCCGCCCGCAAACAAGCCGTGGAAACTTGCTGGAGATAGATTGTCGCTGACGCGGAGTAGCTGACGGGCGGAGGTTGCCGACGGGCGGAGGGTGGGTAGCTGACGGGCGGAGGTTGGCTGGGTAGCTGATGCTGACGGGCGCTGACTGGCAGAGGTTGTTGGCGCGCGGAGGGTGGGTAGCTGACGGGCGGACTTTGCTGACGGGCGGAGGGGCGGACCCGACCCGAGGGGGGGGGAGGTAGTCAGAGCGGAGCCCGCCGGCAAATTGATGGTGGAGGTTGCTCGGTCGGAGGTAGCTGACGCGCGGGAGTGGGTAGCCGACGGGCGGAGGTTGCTGACGGGCGGAGGGTGGGTAGCTGACGGGCATAGATAATTAGTATCTGACGGGCGGAACCCGGGGCAAACAACCCGTGGAAACTTGACGGAGATAGTACCCGACGGGCGGAGGTTGCTCGGTGGAGGTAGCTGACGCGCGGAGGGTAGGTAGCTGACGGGCGGAACCCGCCGGCAAGCGGAGGTTGCTGACGGGCGGAGGGTGGGTAGCTGACGGGCGGAGGCTGGGTGGGTAGCTGATGCTGACGCGCGCTGATGAGGCAGAGGTTGCTGACGCGCGGAGGGTGGGTAGCTGTCTGACGGGCGGAACCCGCCGGCAAACAACCCGTGGAAACTTGACGGAGATAGTACCCGACGGGCGGAGGTTGCTCGGTGGAGGTAGCTGACGCGCGGAGGGTAGGTAGCTGACGGGCGGAACCCGCCGGCAAGCGGAGGTTGCTGACGGGCGGAGGGTGGGTAGCTGACGGGCGGAGGCTGGGTGGGTAGCTGATGCTGACGCGCGCTGATGAGGCAGAGGTTGCTGACGCGCGGAGGGTGGGTAGCTG